GACGTAGATGCTTTCTACTGTATAGCAGGCAATTTCTCAGCCACAACAGGATTATATGGGCTCTGCTGCGACTAGATAATTGAATTCGGGAGCGGCCACAGTGCACTGCATCCAATGATCTTTCTCCCACCAGGGTGATGGGGGGAGGTTAATTCGAGTTACACCAGAATCCGACGTGCAACAATAGTGTTAGTCGTGTAAAGTTGTTAGCCTATTAAGACCGATTCGTCAGGATAATATTTGTAGTTCCTCTTTCTGAATTACATACAGCGCTTTGTTTTTATTTTATTTAACAGGCAGCCAATGAACAAACACTGGGTTTCTAATTGCATAATCTAAAAAAAAAACAGGCGATAAAAACTGCATGTTTGTGGTGATGTAACCTGATGGAGATGATAGAGCGGGGTAAAGCTGGGGAGGATATGCACTGAAATGTAATGTGATGGGAATTTACCAGCAAAGCTGCATGTTAATCTTGCCCTGACCTTGTGGAAAATACACAGAGAACAGCGTCTGTGGGGCAAAAGATAACAGCGCAGCCTTTGTGCAGAAGGAGAACGACACTGCTGATGATGCTGCTGCTTTGTGATGATGATGCTAGCCAAGGTCACGTGTGTGCTTTTGTGGAGTAACGAGTCTGGACAAGGTAGCCCTTTGTAGCTCTGATGTACTGATTTGTCCATGTACAGTATACAGCGCCCTTTATGTAGCTTTTTTTTGGGTCACATTTTGTCACATTATAACCACAACCCCCAATGTATTTAGTTATTTGATAGATCAAAACAAAGAAAATAAAGCAGAATTGGGACGATCCAGCTTGCAGTGCAAGGTTAGGAAAGGACAAAAGCAAACAGCTGGAGGTGGCTATTTAACCGTAAAAATCTAACTTTTATGGTTAAATTCATCAGACAACACTCCAGGTCACCATGAATACACTTTCTCCTTTGGATATGCCGTGGGAATTATTTCCTAAAGCAAAAAAATTAAAAGGACTGGAGACTGAGGGTAAAGTTTACCTTCCTGTAGGAATACACCAAGAGATATCTAGTTTCTTTAGGGGTGTATGAATATGCAATCTAAAAATTCTACTAAAGGAGTAAACTCTAAAAACAAACATCAGTAAATTGTGAGTAACAACCAAAAGCAGATTACCAGGAAAATCCCTCACTGCCAGTTATGTGTTTGTTCAAAGCTCTAACTTACAATATGGCTTCACAAAGTATATCAAAAAGTATATTATTAAGGTTTCTTGTTAAGGCTTTATTCATACAATAGATCAGGGTCACAGCAAGGGGGGAAAAAGTCTATATACAGATAGCGGACAAGAAGAGTTGGTGGTTCAGCGTTCTTAGGAGGAGGAACTGAACGCCATTCTTAGCACAAAAACAACAAAGAGGGGACCAACCAAGCCAACCCAGAATGTGGCGACCCAAACAGTCTTACACCTCATGGGTCAACCAGACTTCAATATCTAACCACGACTCTGATCTTTTTAAAGCACTCAGTTTTTCACAGCAGAGCTTAGTCTTTAACTTTTGAGGCGGAAGAAAGAGGACTGCTTCCTGGCATGTCTACTAACCATTTACCGGTAATTGTGTCATGGAGTATTTAATGGGGACTTAGTGGCATTGAAATGCTCCCTCATTTCACCTTTCTACTAAGGAACCTTTAAAGTTTTTAGTTTCTGTGTCCAGCCTTGTTTGACACATTTCAGACTAGTTAATCTAGATAATATCTTTCTGCCATTTCCTGAGTTGTGAAGGATAAACACATCTGCCCTAAAGTCCTGCTTCTTTATACTTCCCATTTTAATGGAAAAATAATGCACTAACAACACTAGGATATTCATGTACACAAATTAAAAGATCCAAGATGATGTGATGAGCTTGCAAATAAAAATAAACACTTGAGTTTCAATTGATTCTTGTAGTTTTGTAGTTTTAATCAGTGATTTTTCTTTCTTTGATTTTATTTTCTTTAAACCTCTACCAGGACTGTCTATAACGATGAATGGTGTTGTAACTCTTGTGCTTTTGGCAATGCCAAAAATAGTGTGACTAATGTGTGAAGAATGCCAACATGTGGAGCTTTGGTTTGGAAAGTAAAACAACATCCCTTTTTTCCCCCACTTTAAATGCAGACATAATGCTTGTTTGAGAGCAGACGTCCTAAAATCATCTAATGCAGCAGTTAAAAACGGGGTTCTCCCATTAAACAGGTACAAACTGACAGCTGTGGGCTGGGGAGGTACATGCATGCGACACTTGACACCCGTTCAGTGAAAAAATAAACATCATCTGTTGCACTCTAGTAAGTGTGGTGGAGGCACATGTTATACTAGCAGCTTTATTTGACTAGTGGAGTAAAACGTCTAATGAGATTAAACGTTGCTATGGACGTTTATTTGCCTTTTGGCGTCATAAAGTATTGTTGAATGTGTTTTTTAATTAGAAAATGAGATAAATCAAACATGGATATAGTAATTTGTTAAATTTATTTAAATAACAGTAAATTAGGACCTTTCACATGCCACTTTTTTCTTTTCCTTGGATTTTATTCTAATTGGTTTGCAGAGAAAGTTTACAAAAGAAAACCCCTTCAGCAACTTAAACAGAATGAGAAAACTAGGGGCCCTAGTTACAATCTATGCAATGTGCCAGTAGCTCACTATATTTGCCTACAAAGGCTTTCTAATTGAATTACACTGCCCTCTTGGCTTATAATATTTTATTTTGGTGTTTTACACTCTGCTCTATTTTTATTGCAATCTTCAGAGTGTTCTGACTTTACAAAAACAGGATATCATAAGTAATGGAGCCAAGCAAGTCAGTGTTTCCCAAGCAGAAGTGTGAAAAACTCCAAGAGCGGAAAAGAAAGCTGCCAAAGCTGGAAAGTTGATAAATGCATGAGTAAGTTTTGCCAAGAGATGGAAACGACATACAAAAATGTGTATGTCTACTAATCACCTGAAAATTATAGAAACCATGGGACCTTAACCCAGAAAGTAAAAGGAAAATAAATGAAAGATGTTTAATAGATGAACACATAGGGTCAGAATGACCTGGAGTTAGCAGGTACATTTTTCCATGAAATCAATAAAGGATTCAACCTGGATGAATCATTTTCCAGCATGGCCGAAAAAGAAAGAAAGAAAAAAAAATAAATGGTTGAGCAGGTCAAAACATGTTTCAAGCCTGCTGCAGAACATCTAAAGCATCACAACGCAAAGTGTTTGGATGATACGAGGAAAGAATTTAACTCCATATTTTAAGGTTGATCACACATGTACAAAAACAGCTCAAACAAAACATGCCAACAGTGAAGGACTTTTTTCAGCGCTAATCTAAGTCAATTTTTCTTAAAATAGGTGCATTTTTTTCTTGTCTTGAGCAGGTAAGTGAGACACTCTGCAAGTGGAACAGGACAACTTACATTAAAAAAAATGTCTTATTTTACGGTAAAAATGCTCATTCCGTTAGCTGATCATCTGATTTTCCTACCCAAATTAAGGGTAAACACACTTAAGACATTTTTACGCATTTGCAGAACATTTTTGCAATGAGTATGTTTTACTGGAAGAAATCATATAACGGGAAAAGAAATGAATGAGTAAAATTACCAACACATTTTGGATAAAGGATCCACTGAAACAAAGACCTTACTTTCAGACAGTTTCATATCAAGAAAGTAAAGATGCTATAATCTGCCAGAATCCCACCTGAGCAAAGATTTTATTTCACTTCTCCATAAAGGAGATGTCCTAATGTTGCCATTACTAAAAGTATTAAACGTAATTTTTTTTCCAATACGTATTTCCTGTATCATCACAGTATTTAACTTAACTGATGATTGCAAATAATTTGATTTCTTAATTTATATATATATATATATATATATATATATATATATATATATATATAAAAATTATTGCCACAGACTCAAATAGTCCCACACATACAGTATGAGTCTTATATCACTCATTATGGACACAATTAATGAGACAAATGTCTACATTTTTAGTACTCAAAATCCATTTGGAGAGTTTTACTCATCTTCTTAAAGATAACTTTAAAGAATATATTGATATTACGATCCAACTTTAGCAAGTTAAACATAACTTTGTCTAGTTAAAGTTGTTTTTTGCTCTGGCCTGTGACTTCAAAGTTCTCTAGTTTCAGAGCATTCTAACAATACACAGTATTGGAAACGTTATAATTCTGTTTGCTTAAGCATAAAACAAGCCTGTTTTGTATGGAATAAGCTCAAAATCATCTGAATTCCCCTACAATGAGGAATAAACTAAAACACCAGCAGATGGGATACTTTGCTTTGCAAATGAACACACCATGTGTACTTAATCAAATAGCAGAACAAGGTTGGTGTAAGGTCAGCCAAAACAAAACAAAACAAAAAAAACATTTAAAGCACTGAGTTTGTTCATGCAGCTTTTGTTTAGCTTTCGTATTAAAAAGGTGTGGCAATCTGCACTTAGGGAAATACGGGTAGACTTTTCCACAAGTGAAGCATGAAACAAAACATTCATATAAACTACATTCTTTATATCTACAATTTATTTTAAAGTGTCAGTCCTAGAAAAATTAGGCTTTTGGGTTAAAATAAACCACTGGACTTGTTTCCAATTTTAAAGACGTTTTGCAAACCATCCAGGAAGCTTTTTCAATTCAAAATGTCAGGAATAGGAAGCTTATTGGAAGCTAAATGTCTTCAAACTTTGAAACAAAGTCCAGTGGTTTGTTTTAACTTTTTTTTTGGAACGACTATGACCTGGATGAGTAATAATCTTCACCAACTTAGAGTGTGGGGTTTTAAAGCTAAGCTGCACCCCTGCTGAATTTATGCCTTGACTATTTAGAGTGAGATGATGTTAGTTAGGTATGAATGACGAGCTTAATCCCTATTTGGTTTCCCATCATTTTAGCACAATGCCTTCCGCTACAGATGAACATGAACATGTGGTTCAAGGAGTCTGTATGACTTACAAGGCTTTGTGTTTGTCTTCAGCAAGGATCTGGTCATTTGGCTTCAGCCCAAACCTTTCAGAAAAAAAGAAAAAAAAAGAAAAACAGTGGTCATAAACATATTGTGTTTCACTGATTTAAGATAATAACACAAGAAAAAAAACGAAACAATAAGCTATTGACACTTACTTGTCAAGGAAATCTTTGTCTACGACAGCTGAGATGTCCAACAAGGGATTTCCCATTCCAAAAAGCATGTTTTCACTGTGAAGTGGGAACAAAAACATATTGTCTTCTGAAATCTCCCACATAGCGGCTTTAGCCAGAGAGGAGGAAACAAGCAATCTGTGCTTTGCTGTGAAACAGGAAATCATCTGGTAGGGATTTGTTGTCTTAAATAACAGACATTTCAGTTTGGGACACACCCCTGTAGAGATTGTGTCACATGTGAGAACTTTGCAGAATAGAAACATGCATATGTATTCATAGATGTGTAGATTAACAGTTGTCTGTACAGCTATTTTATCTATACATTGACAGCAATAAGATACAATGGGCAAAGTCTCTTCTTCACAACAGATAAAGAACAACCTGACAGAAACACAAACAGGGATATTTATTCTTTCTGAAGAGGTTTAGGTTGACATGTGTAAAAACAAACTGTTATCCAACCAATCTAAGCCAAACACTGACATAGTGAGAGGATTCCCTCATAAAACATCAGTTTTAACAGCTCCAGTGGACTCTGTAAAGTATATGCTTTAGATCTCACCTCGGTGTTGGCATGGTGTCAGAAAATTCTCCAGAATATCAAAGGATAAACAGCTTTCTCCTCCTCTCAGTGAAAAGCAACGTGTTTTCTGACTCCAGGAACTGGAGTTCCAGTTTGGCCAACCCTAACAGCAGGTGGGCAGAGTGGGATGGGGCTTTGGTTTCCTTCTAGGCATGTGATTGGCTGCACAGAGTGCAACTGTTGAAAGGGCTTTTTGTGCTGCATTTAAGGCCAAAGGGAAAAAAAAAAAAAAACAGGAACACAGGAAGACCAGGGTCAACCCTGTTACGTCATCCAACAACATGAGAAAATATACATGCACGCATGTATATAAAGTTATCAAGGCTTCACATGTCAAAAGATATCCCATTAGTGGCTATAAAACTGTAGATTAATCAGTCATTACCCACTGGGCTTTACAATTAATTTGGTTTAGCAGGATTCATTGATTATTGAAATTAAGTAAACTTAATTAAGAAATGAATACCTGTTAACTGAAGTATACAGTTTCTAAACACACCGTTTGGGCCAGAATCGGGTATTGCAGGCCAACAACGACCTCAACTGCTCCACATTACTGAGGAGTGGAGCTGTTTTTCCGGGTCAATTTGCATGTTTTCTAAGCCACAAAAAGACTTTAAACCTTGGATCTCAAAGCTAATCCAGACGTTTTGAATTGAGGAAGCTTTCAGGATGGGAAGCGAAACGTCTTCAAACTTTGGAAGAAAAAAAAGTCCAGTGGATTTTTACTTTTTTGGAATGACTATGACCTGGATGACAGGGAATCTTCACCAGCATTTGATGAAAATCAGAAGTTTAACAGCATAAAAGGGGATAATCTCAGCTTCTCTGTTTTATTATTTAAAACTTGTATCTCTGTCAGAAAAAATGCATATAATGTGTTTTTTTCTAATGAATAAATGGGCAAAATGTGTAGCACAGGCCATTAAATATCTGATCTTTGTAGCTCTAGTTTTTATGTATTCATTGCTACCATTAAATGGTAAAGATCAATCCTCCAACATTATAAAACACAACACCTATTGATAGCAAAGATCATATTTTCTAACACAACGCCAGTTTTGTAATACTACATGGTTTACAGTCAGCAGTGTTCAGATAAGATCAGATAGGAAGTGTTTTTTCCCAGGTCAATTGAACGCCACATGAGTCACTTCATAGAGGTGTTACATTTGTAAACAAACCAGCAAACTAGTCATTTTTCACATTCGCTTAGATATTTTTTTTATATAAATTATAAGAATTTAGAATAATAAAATAGAAGGTGAAAAAAAACAAAGGTATACTTTCAGGCTGTCAAATATCCTTACATTAAAATTCTTAAACAAAATATAAAAGACAAATTGGAATTAACATGACGCACTGTTTTACTTCTAATTAAACCATTAGTTTTATTTTGGGCTCATCTAACGCTGTAAACCTGTCTTTATTAAAATAACGCCATCCCTTCCTGATTCGATCTCCATACCAAACATCTTTTAAGGACAATTAGAGGTTGGAGTATGTAACAGTTTTTCGTATCCCTGTCATGTGATGAAACGGGGATAAAACTCTCAGTCCGTTAAATGTCAATTGTTAAATAATGACCAAACTGTCTGCTTTTATCAAATAAAAGCTGATTAGAGGAGAGGAGAATAAGGTTGAAGTGCCTTCTCCCCGCAGTTCCAGCTGTCAGTTAACACATCACCGCAATTAACCGCGCGCGTCTTAGCTTCACGAGACATAAATCTGTTTTTTTTACATATAAATATATATTTTTACCTTATAGTCTTTCTCCAATTCGACGGAATTGATTCTTCGTTCGACATTTTTTCTCCCCTCAGCGTTTTCAGCGGGTCTGCTGCTGAGGATTGATCCTACAGCCTCTTTCTTTCCTCTGGCAGGGAACAGTAGTAGGAAGCTACTCCCCATCAACCTCATTAAAGCGTAAAAAATATTTAAAAAATGATTTTATTTGTTGAAACGGATCATTTATTTTGACCAACTTTAAGATAGGCATCCTATCGGCTTTCTTAGATCGGATTAGTTATGTTTCTCTCCCAAAGGTTGCCATCTTCAACCTGGATTAAACGCTTTAATATTTAATACTAATGCTAGAAATTTGCAATCAGATCTTCAAAATGCAACGTTTGAACAGGAAAAAAAGAACCTTAAGAGAATGTTTTTCAAACTACTATGTGGAATTTAGCCTGTGTTGAAACTAAACTTTATTAAATGATCCCTGAAATTGTTAAAACTGTAGTTTCCTTAATCCTCATCAGGGAATAATTCCTAAAGATTAGACAGAGTAGGGAAAATAATTTGAGAATAATCCCTTTTAGATAGTAGGTAATATAGTCCATTTTTTAGCTGGCCTTCAGGGGCTTTTATAGAATATGGCAGACCTATTAAATTACATCATGGAAGTGGTAGTTAACCTTTAGATTAAACAGGGAGTATTGGAAATAATCTGTGAATAATCCCTTTTAGAGAGTAGGTGGTATAGTCCATTTTTTTTAGCTGGCCTGCAGGGGCTTTTATAGAATATGGCAGACTTATTAAGTTACACTATGAAAGTGATAGTTAACCTTTAGAGAGCTAAGGATAACATCCCTTGATGACTCCCACATGTTTTAGGATTACTTGCTTAAGGTTTAGTTTTCAACATTGAAACTAGCCAACACATTCCCTTAAGGAAACACTTGAAGGTTACACTTTTAAAAAGTTAGGGTTAACCTAAGGAGAACATTTAGAGAACGTCCCCAGCAAATCGTACAGTAAATATTAGGACTTTTAAGAAGCCTTCCATAAAGATTAGAGATCACTACCTTTGAGAAACTTTAAGCTTTACATTCTATAAAAGGTTCAATTTGCAATTTAAGTAGCCTTCCCTACAACCATACTAAACACAGAACTCTGTTTTACGCTATTGAAAAGAATCTGAAAAGAAAATGTAAAAGTTTTATGTGGTACAAACTGGTCCTTATTTAAAACTTTCAATGTAATTAGAGTACTGTTTGAGTTAGCAAAAAAACACAACAAAGAGAAATCCAAGTGTTATAAAATGCTTTATTACAAAATTGTGAACAAGGCTGAAGCAAAGTCACACTTTAGACCCATTGAAACCCAACCGAGTTGCATAATCTTAAAGGGGGAGGGGGTTGCATAGGCTTTAAAGAAGAATCCTGTACAGTAAGTGTTTTAAAGTTAACATTGACAGTTTGCATAAAATACCACAAAACGTATGAAAATTAAACCATTAATAGCAAAACAAGGCACATTAATTTATTTCAGATGTTTAGAGTACATCACAAAAGAAAAAAAAAATCTTGATACATTTGAGTATCTAAAATAAGAATTGCCACAAAAGGTGAGCATTTCTGTTTAGTGTATCAGGAGAATTTAGATTAAAGGTTACAAGTTGTGCTTTATAATGAAGTGTCGCTCATTTCTCTCTGTGTGAAATTGTACAAGAATTGTGCACAAAAAAGAGAAGCAAAATAAGAGCAAAAAGTGTTATTCAAACATGCAAGGAATAGCAAAAATAGCTTTTAGGACATAGGATAGGGGTACGGGTGACATTGTTTGATTGACAAGTCCAATGAAAAGAGTTGTTCCCTAAAATATAATTCAAATATTCATTCGGGATTAAACAGACTGCAGTAGAAGCATCTTTGGCAGGATTCCGGACTGATACAGCTGCAGCACGTTACGGTCCATGGACCCTAGAGGCTGAGCTGTTTGTCTCTTTAAGGTGTCTGAGCGCACACAGCTGACTGGCTGCCTGGAGGCTGCACAGCACCAACCTGACCTTCCACTTGGAAATCCCTTTTGACAGACATTTTATCATAGTTTCGTTCCATTTTCATGCAAGATTCAGACATGTGCCTTACAAAATGTTTGCACATAGTTTTTCACACTTTTTTTTTAGAACTTCCTACAGGAAGTGCAGATGTTTCTTCCGTTCTGTGGTCTCTAAGGTGTGACCAAAAAACAGCTCAGCAGGACTGCAACCAAGGGATTCCTGAACAGCTGCTATAGCAGCAAACACAAACGGGACCCCTTAATCCTGAGGTTTTTCAGTGTCTAAGCAGGATTTCTTGTATGCAGAGGGGAAAAAAACATGCCTAATGTTTAGGGTTTGTGATACCTGTGTGAACAACTTAGACTAGAAGTTTTTTCCTTGATCAGTTTGTATATTTGGCAGGCCAATCACTATAGAACTCTGTTGGTGCCCTAACACCACTTTTCACCAGAGCTACATGTATCAAAGCAAGGATTTTGTTAGTGAAGTTTTTACCCCATATGCATGTTACCATATTTTTTAATTAGCCTACAATAAAAACCACTAATATAACGTTACATAGCCCAGTAATTTATTTTAACGTTGCTATAATAACATATACCAATATAGCCTTTATCATTTTGCATGTTTACATTGTAACTGTCCACATGACCGATTTTTAAAGACAGATTGGTAACAAAGATCGTCTCTGTGTAAAGGGATTAAAGAAATGAACATATTTGATCTTTTCCCATTAGTCACCTACATAAGTGTTACCACCTTTGTGGGGATGACATCCCCTACCTCTGCAGACTGCGGGTCCCAAAATTCAGCACCACACTAAACAGAGCAACGCATTTACTGTTACACAACTGATCTGTTCGGTTCAGATTTTCTTCTAGTAGTATTTTCCTGCATGCAATAGACAGGTGGACGACTTTTGATCATTTATTGATGACAGAAGATTCCTTAATACTATTGGTGCATTGCCCTGCACGCTTTAAGATATAACGCCCCTCTGGTGCACATGAAGGGTATTATGTTGATAGGTAAGAGTGAGATATGTATTATTATTAATGCATTATTTGAACACATTATTGCTTCCAAACATGTAATAATTCTCTTTGTAAAAAGTTAAGGAACAAATTTTCTGCTAGTTTAAATTATGGAAAAACTAAAAAAAAAAAAAAAAAAAAAAATCATATCCGCTGTTTAATAAAGTTCTTTTATACTAGATGATTTTCAGGAAGTATTCAGGATTCATAACAGAGTCCCTCATTGATGACAGAGGGTTAAACCACAGAGGCTGAATGTTAAGACAAAGTAATATAAATCTATGAACCTTAAACTCTGTTCATTTTCAGATTAATAGTCATTTATTTAACAAAAATGGTATCTCTTTAAATTATAAACTTTCAGTTCTGAGAAGTGGTTAGAAATTGAGCATTTTAGACTATTTAGGCATTTAGTCATTCTGCTTTTTTACTGAATCAATTAAGCTGTCATTGAGCTCATGGTCACTTGATGAAAACTACAGACCTGCATTTAGCTGGATTACTTAGACCTGGCTTGATGCAGCCATACCTGTGGAGCCTGGCTAGAGGTGTGTGGAGCGGATAAAGCCAGGATGCATTCCTCAGGCTAGATGGAGTCTAGCTTTAACTCTTATCCTCGAACTTCATCTTTTGTGAATTAGGCCCCAGGGACCAAAACCGTGTATCATATTGATCACCATTTCTCTTTCACTTCTTTTAGCCCTATATATCACAAGCAGAAGTAACAACTAAATATATTACATCTGTGCTGATAAAAAAACCTTTGCTGTTGTTATTATAAAGTTTATGTGATTATCAAAGCAAAGCAGAAGGGTGATAATGAAATATTTACGACAAAAATGTCCTTAGAAATCCTTAATTCAATTTAATTTAAAGTGGTACGGATTTAGAGGAGTCCACAAATAATCACCCTCACTTTTAATGAAATCTAACCTGTGATCAATATATAAATATCTATTTTCCAAGGAATCCTATTAATTATAACTTTAAAACCCCACCATTTATAGAATATCAAAACAGCAACTAGTATAGACAGGACATAGGAGGAAGAAACGTTGCCCATATATGGATGTTGGGCAAGGCCATCGTTGCTTTGATAAAGCGTATGTCTGTCCATTAAAGTCCCAGCACCAAGCAGAGGACGGATGCTGGTCTCTTACTGGTACCAGGGGGTCTTTCTGACCCAGTGGAGAGTGCAACCTGCATCTGTCCGGATCTTAATGGAAGCCGCCTCTGCCTCTCTGACGGTCTCCTTCACTGATTGCATCAGGTTCTGGGCGTTGTGAACCAACATTTCAGTCGCCTAAAGTAAAAATAGATTTAATGAGATAATATTCAATCAAAAGCGGCACAGGAAAACAAACTCTATACGTGTAAAGACTGTGAGCCCTGGCTACAATCAGATAAGATGGAATCAGTAATTGTGCTCACCTGCTCCGACTCTTCTTCACTGATGTTGGTGCGGCCCAACATGGTGGCCTTGACAGTGGAAAGGATTTTGAGCTGAGTGCTGATGGTGGGAATGCGCTCACACACCTGAAACAAGGTTATTTTAAGTGTCAAAACATTTCAAGACAGCCACAGTGTTAGCACTTTATAACCAATTAGTTCCTTCTACACTGACTTGGAGGAGGTTGGTCCGGATCCGTTTGTCGGTACACTGCTTGGCCACTTCCTTAGCTAGTCGTGTGACTTCGTCGGAGGCTTTGGCGATGTCCTTGGCGCACTGGATCAGAGCACGCTTGTTTCCGCTGCCTCCACGCACCAAACGAGACATTTCTGCCATGAGCAGGGCCATTCGTTTGGCAGCACCAATTATGTCGTTTCCCTGCAAAGACCAACAGAAAATGTCTACCGGTAGTTTATGTTTTTCTATCTGAGAGAAATTCAATCTAGACTAAGGAGGCAATTTTGGATTCAGTTTGAGCTATAAGAGAAACTTTTGATGCAGGATGAACAATTCCTATCAGCTTAATATTCAGAGGCATACTTTCGACCACTCCTTGTCTAAAATCTATAAGGTTAGAAAACTTCTGTGTTTTTGTTCTTTTTTTTCCCAGTCTATCTGTAGAAGAACAAGAGGTCAGTTAATAGATGACAAATTAACAGGCTACAGGGTACACCTGCTTCAGTAAAACTCATTAAAGGGCAACGCCGTTTTTTTTTTTTTTACATTGGGCCCTTGATGTTACGTTATTACATCATGTTCTACTCACCCATTTGAGTTGTGTGTCATTTGGAGCCGTTCTGAAGATATTCCATTAGGTTATATCCGACTAACGTCTACCTATGGGCAACGACTTATAGGTACAAACTAAACTGTTCATAATGTATTCTTTATGGTACGCCAGCATTCATAACATGTAGGCGAATAACTGTCCCCCAGACATCCACGGTTATATTTTTTATATTTATATCTTTTAAAAACGAAGCGACGTCATCCGCGTGTGCCAGCTATCAATCATTCTTCCTGTTCGCTCAACTGCTGCTAGTTTTACACACATGCCAGGAAGATGTCTAGTGCTACTACCACAAATTATCTCTCTCTCGAAATGGAATTGAACGATTCAGATTAGCTAGCCGAATGAATAGAAGGGGTAGAGTGTAGCCGCCTGTGGCCCTGGCTCTTCATAAATAAAGGGCCCAGTGTAAAAAAAAAACGCCGTTTCCCTTTAACCCCTAAGCATCAGCAGGGATAATTTACATCAACATATAGTTTTGTACCATTCATAGCTATCTCAAGGTTCGTGTTTGTTTGGTTTTTAAAAAAGAAAAAGGTTTCAGGGAATCAAACTTTATGTGCTGCAGTTATGAAACGACTAAAAGGTTTCATTTCAAACAAAAACAAATGTTATAAAGTTAAAGTTAAGAAATCAATTCTGCAGTGTCTTTGCTTCTGAGCTTGAATATGAGGAAGAGCTTTTACATTGCTGATACAGTACAGTATCAGTAACAATAACCATACAGGTTAAGAGTCTGCTGATAATAGTTGTTTTTTTTTGTATATACATATTAGCCTGCGCTGCAATTCAGATCAGTTTATTTGTATAGCGCCAATTCACTTTACTGTTGATTGCAGAGACTCATTGGCTTGATGGCAATCTCTTACGCTAAGCATGCTAGTAGCAAAAGTGGAGAGGAAAACTCCATTTAAACAGGAAGAAACCTCCAGCAGAACCAGGCTCATTGTCAGCGGCCAACTGGAATCTACGTTTAGTGATGACTCACTTTGCTAGACCATTTGCGGGCTTCGTCGTGAAGCTGCCTGGCAGCCACCATTATGGGCTCATTGACTTTTTCTCCAGCTTTATGCTCTGGGAACTCCTCGTCTTTCTCCTCAGGAGGAGGAGGCCTGGGTGGAGGAACCTCTCCCTCTGGAAGAGGAGGCTTTGGAGGTGCCGCTTCATCATTGAGCTGTAAAGATCAAACAGTTTGACAGGTAAATTACACACGTCTTTTAAGTATGTTTGTTTGGTTTCAAAGCTTCAGTAGTCCTTGACTTGCATTGAGCTGATCCAACTCAGGAGGAGGAGGTGGGAAGTCTGGCTCTTGGGGCTGGAAGGCTTCCCTGACCTTTGCCACAGCTCCAAGAATCTTAAAACCTGAGTCCAAAAAGCTCTTCTGAAGGTCTGGAAATAAAACAAATAACACATTGCGATTCATCAGAGCATGAAAAAAAAAAATCTGAATCTGGTTAGCAACTCCAACTCACTGGGATCTTGGATGTTTCCGGCCACAGCTTTTGCGTTCATCACCATGGGAGAAATAGTCTGGCTCAGTTCATCCGACGCAGCTTTAACCATTTCCCTGAATTTTGGGTCCTCAGAGTTCTCCACCTCTCGTTTCGCCACCAGAAGGATGCGGTTGGCTCTTCGGGCAATGCTCGTAGCACCGGCCACCAGCATCTGGGGCTGGTGATTGGTCATGGCCACGCGGCATTTATCCAAGTCCTTCTTTATGGCGTCCTCAGAGGCGTCCAGCAGAGATTTGGTATCGATAGCCTCATCCACCAAACCTGAAGGGGACAAGAAAGCCCGTCAGGAACTTCAAGTTGGAAAACTTCAGTGATCACTATGTAGTGTCTTAAAACAACAATTATTTTATCTTATTCTGGGACTTTATTTAAAAGATTTAAATGGTTTATATCATATTTCATTTAGTCTGTACAGCAAATTAATCAGTTTTTTAAAGTTTATAAATAAAGCTATATTGAATAATTGTAAAATAGAAGAAAACAGATTAATGATTTTTCCGACACTATTTTGTCTTTCTCATATAATTTTTCAATAACACAAATATCTACATTAAATTTTTTATCACTTTCTGTCCACCTTATTGTCCGCTGATCTCTGTTGTTCTGACTGTGATGTTTCTGAGGTATCTATTCAGTAATTCAGGTATTTCATCGTAAAGTCACGTTTGAACTATCGTCACACCTTCATACTTTTGCACAATATTTTAAACAGGCTTACCGGTCATTTTTTCCACGTTGTCAATCCACTGATTCTTCATGGTCTCAAAATGTTCATACGCTGCTTGGTTGCCAGGGTTTCTCAGCAGAATACGAGCAGCAGAGACCACCTAAAAAGTTGGAATCAGATACAAGTTAACAAATTGCTCATATAGCCATCAAAGTAAGAAACACTTGATTCACTGTAAAAGTCTACCTTTGGTTTACTTGTTTGGTCCAGACCAAAACCCGATTTATTACTTTTGTAAAATAATATTGAATAACTGAAAAAATTTGCTTAAGTCCGGATGTTTATTCCAAACCAGAGATTGCTGGTCTTTATTCACAGCTGCTCAAAAGAGAAACGCCCTCTGGTCCGTTCAAAGTGGACCAAATGTGGCAGTTGTAAATACAAATTTAATCTCTGTGGTTTTTAAGAGTGGGGAGCAAACCGGAGCAGATAACCTCTCAACCATGACATACTTGTGGTGTTAGGTCTCTGGTTGACTTGACGGCAGCCTGGATTCCCTCCACCGTGTTCTTGTTTGCTGTGCCGACTGCGGCTGCCTTCTCGGCCGTAGCACCAAGCCTGTTGGCGTGGTTCTCGAAGTTATTGGCTCTATCATCAAAGACCTACACAGTAAATACATTTTTTTTATGAATCAGTGAAAAAGTGAGTCATTGATAGAGGCATAGATTGCTTTGCAAACTGACTCAGAGATGGAACCACTGACCTCATCTCTGTTGGGTGCATCAAGGGGGGCTGTAGCAGCCACTGCCAGTAACTTGATGGGGGTGGTGGTGTCACTGAAGATGTCAGAAACCTCCTGAGTCATGGCCTCCTGCATCTTTCCTTTCAGGTCCTGAGAGGAGGACAAACATTGCAGAAAATTATCACCCTCACAATAACCCTTGATTTAATGTATTCTGGTTAGCAATGCAGGTCTACAAAGGGGCATTTCATAAAAACATTTAGACATTTTTCTTCCAAGAAGCAACCAACAGAAGTAAATGTGTAAATGTGTGTTAATTCCGGAAACAGTTGGAGTTGCTGTAGGAAAGCACAACTAGTTTTTACTTAAACTTCACTGTGTTGACAGCATCTCTATCATTTCAAAAAGTCTATGCACTAAAATAATATCAGTTTAAAAATTACTTTTCTTAACTACTTAACACTAAATTATTTCATGAAGATCTACAAAAATTAAACAGCTTTAAGTTCTCCACTACAATACACCACTAGAGGGAGCCATTTCTCCATGCACGAATCCCTAGCATGTAAAGTTTAGAGCTTTTATTGCAGCTATTGATGGGGTGTGAGCACCAGTCTTACTTTCAAGGTCTCTTGGAGCTGTTGAGCTACAGCACGTGCTTGCGGGGAGTCCCCTTCACCACGGGCAGCCAGGTCAGCCAGCTGGGCCATGAGCTGCTCCACTTGCTCACACTTGCCCATCAGCTCCTGCCTGTACGGACCCTGTAGAGCATTGGCTAGCCGACGGCCCTCTGCCACCAGGCCACGGATGGCTGCCTGGCCTGGAAACAAAATTATAGCAAACATTTTACTGGCTAAATGCAGGTAATTATCTATGGAAATCAACTAATAAGAAGTCAAGAATTTTGTTTTATTTTTGTCTGCAACACCAAAACTGTTAAGTTTCTGTTCTGGTTCAATGCTGCAACATAAAGCACCTGTTTCCTTTGTAGCTGGACCTGTTCGCTTCCTGCCGGCTATTGCATAATTAGAGGAATTAAATAAATGTTTTGCAAGTAATATACAATGCACAGTGCTTGCATAAATATAACAGAAACATTTCACACTTTGCACAAACTATTGCATTATCTTTAGAATTCACATTAGATCTTTAGAAGTGGACAGAAAAGGATGCATGATTTTCTGTTTACAAAACTCTGCAAAGCCTGGTGTGAAATTGTGTGCAGACAATTTACTTTTATCGCTATAAGATTTTTTTTTTTTTTTAAACTCAGTTCCTCAAATGTTTTTGTTAGCAGTAACTTTACTTTTTGACTGATAAGAAAATTTTCGGAGGAAATTACAACTGAATTCAAATAGAATAAGTTTATGTAAATTAAGTATAAATAAATCTTGTTTACTTTTCTAATTTTGGTGAGCCTATTGCTTAAGTAACTTCCACTGTATCATGTTTTTTTCTTTCTACCACAATACCGCTTCAGCAAACAGCTTACAGCTGCTTTTTCAAACGTAAAAATATGTTGTCCAGATTTTTTGAAGTCATGCCAAAACCAAAGGACAACACAACAGGACTTGGAAGCGTGTAGTGGATGAGGTCACCAGAGGAGTGGAAGGAATGTGGTTGAGTGTGAAACAGAAACAAGTTTAGGGAAGATGGAAGCCAGACTTACCTACACCACTGTCGTCCACAGTAGGGTTGTCGATCCAGCGCTGCGCCTGCTCCGTCTTCCCCTCCAAGTGAACGGCTGCCTTTGCAGGCCTGCTGTTGGCTACAGCCTTGTTGGTCTTGGACTGCAGGTTCTGCAGGGCTGTTGCTATCTGCTTGGCTAAGGCTCGGGCCTCAGGAGTGTCACCTTTACCCCTATGAACAGATACAGCAGCTCATTTTATTATAAAAACAATGGAAACAAAAGGCTATGCAACAAGGCAGGATTTAAATAGGAATACAAACACTCCCTATCAAATAATGGCAGACATGTTACAGTACGCTTCTTGTATTAAAACTGTATAAAATACACAATGAAAGACAATTACATATGAAAAATGGACAAAAAGAAAGTGAACTAAGGATAAGGGAAGAAAAAAGGAAGAGGAAGGAAGAGAATCAAGAAAGGAAAGAACATAGGACAGCATGAAGGAGGAAAAGACATGAGGAATGAACAAATAAGAAAAAGGAAGGACCATGACGGGTGGCGGACAGCGGGAATCAGGGAATGAATGACATGAAAGGGAAATGGGGAATCCATAAGGAAGGAAACACAGACATAAAAGAACTGCTGGACACAATAAGAAAGGTGATAAGGAAGAGCACAAGGGAAGGAAGGAATGAAAGGAAGTAAAAAATAAGAAAGAAAGTGAAACAGAGAGTTGGATGGATGAGTTGGAGGAATGAAAAAAGAAAAACACTCAACTAGATATAACAGGAAATTTACCCAACATGCTTTTCAAAAGAGTTAAGAGGACAAACATTCATGAAGGAAATGTCATATTTAGACAACAAGATAAGGAATAAACTGTAATAATCAATAACACAAATTCTCATAATTGTCCAGACCTGGAAAATACTGAAATCAAATTCCAAACTTTTCCAGTCTGTGTAGAAACCCTGCCTGCTATTACAGGACTAATTCCTGCACTGTTAGAAAACACCCAAGCAGCTGTAACAATGTATGGAAATAGATCTAGTAGATTTACTGAGACAAAGATAAGCTGACGGAAACTCACTGCCTTCTGAGCTCAGACAGTTTGGCCGTCATGGCAGCCAGCTCTCCAGCAGAGCGCAAAATCTCTTCCCGCTCTTTGGGATCCTCGCACATATCCGCAATCTTTTTGGCCTCACCCAGGAGGGCCTTGATATTCTCCTCTCCCTCTGGGCCACCGTGGGGGTCTGCGAGCCAGCTCTGTGCAAAGAGACCACAACATTGTGCTTCAAAGATATAGCTCAGATCTCTGCTTTGTGAACATAAAAAAGTCTGCTGGCTCACCTGTGCAGCATCGATCCTCTTGGCGATGGCCTGCTTGGAGTTCGTCATGGCCTCGAGTTTGCGAGCGGCGTTTTCAACCTTGCCAGTGAGCACATCCAGGCCATGGGAAACCTGCTGCGCTTTCTGCATGGCAGCCGGAGACGCTCCCTGACCTCTGAGTGGACAAAAATTGTAGGAAGGTCATCAGATGGGTCCAGGTGGTTTCTAATAAGCCCCGGTCTGGACATTAAAAGCCTTTTTTTCTTTTAGCAGTACAGTTCCTTGCTTAAGTATAGCTGACTTTTCTCTAAATTTTTACTTAATACCAACAATCTTATGATAATTTTAGGTGAAAGAAAACACAAAGCAGCTAATAATTTTCAAATGAAAGTCAAAAGATTTTGTTTAGATTATTTTTCACAAACAAAATCGACAATGTATGTTTTGATCCCATTATTCCAATTAATTATGGACCACTTTAGGTTTGCTATAAGTAGATCTAGATTATTCCCTACAGCTTTGTTTCATCAGAATTACCTCAGGGTATCTAGCAGCAATAATTTTATATTCAAGAGATCAAGAGTTCCACTCTTATAACAATGATCTAATTACAACAAAGCTTTTACTTCACTGGGACAGAGAACACACTATTCATTGAGAACAAACATGGTTGAACTATATGATAGGGAATATAAAAAAATTGATCGACATACCTCGCCCTCATCTCAGACACCTGATCAGTCATCTGGCCCAGAGTCTTGGCCGTGCCCAGGATGTCTCTGCGCTCCTTCCCGGCACACAGCTCACCAACTTTACCAGCTTCATCCAGGATCTGCCGGACGGCCTGCTCGCCAGCCTCCCCTGCAGGCAAAACAATTCAAAGGTAAGACCAATCAATTTCCAAAGTGACTCTTGGAATCAAAAGGATGCATTAAATCTGTATACCTGGTGGAGCATTTGGATCCCTCAGCCAGTTTTTAGCCTGACCCATTTTGGAGTCGATCAGTCCTAGAGCCCTCTTCATGGCCTCTGTGTCCTTTAATTTAAAAAAAACAAACAAAAAAACATGCATCTTTTTAACCTTAAAATACTTTCCTTTCTAATTTTCTCCCCTTCAATAATACGCTGATTGCATAGTAAAGAAAACTTTCACTCCCACGGCTGTTAATTGAACTATGTTTGCTCTGGACACACTCATGATGAAGCTGCAATGTTCCTTTCATTCAAAGAAACATTAGTCCAAATCAATTACACAAGCGTCATTATGATCCATCAGGCAAAACAATTCAAACCATGCAGCTTCTCCTTTTATATAGAAACCATCTGAGCAGACTGAGTTTTTCAAAAAGCCAAAAGTAGCTTCATGGTATCTCATTCAAAGTGGATGAAAATAGTCTGCCAGCAGCCACAGATTCAACAATGCTTCCATTAAGCCCATTGTCGAAGTCTAAACAAAGCAAAGTCACACTGGCTGTAAATGGTTTAGTGAGTTGCTTCTTTCCTCCAAAGGCACATCAGAAAAAAGGAAAAACATATATATATATATATATATATATACACACATATACATATATATATATATATACGTATACATATATATATATATATATATACATATACATATATATACATATACATATATATACATACGTATACATATATATACATACATATACACATATACATACATATACACATATATATACATATACACATATATATACATATACACATATATATACATATACACATATATATACATATACACATATATATACACATATACACATATATATACATATATACACATATATATATATATATATATATATATATATATACACACATACATATATATATATACATACATACATATATATATATATAAACAAATTACCAAGGTAAAGATCTATGGCGTTTTGCTTATAAAGGTTTTTATATTTGAAATCACACCCAAGGCCATTTGTTAAATGGATGGATGAAGCAATGATAAAGGTGATTTTCCACATTGATCATTTTCCAAACTGTGAGAAAACCTGAAAAACTGAAATAAGACAAAGTAAAGCCTTATATGGCTGACAGGTTTGTATCAACATCCTGCTATGATAGACAAGACAAAGTAAAAGCAAGGTTAAAAAAAAAAAAAAAAAAGAGGAAGTACGGAGGTGTGAAGTAACGCTGACAGTAGGGTAGGTTTATTGGTTTTATGTCCTGCAGCTCCTTAGAAGACTTAATTTTAATTTAAAAGGTGTCAGGATTTTTTTTCAATGCTGTTGAATGCCTTTCAGTAGCAAAGATGATCACACTTTGTGCTTAGTGTTGATTTAGAAGGAATCTAGCACTGATTAAAACAGAAGACTTTTTTTATTAGAGTTATGTGATCTCTTCTCTTTCAGGAGAAACCTGCTTTTCATGGTAGGTAGATGTTAACCATGAGAAAATTCTCCTTAATGAAACCTAAATCCAAACTGCATGACTCAGTTAAACCAACTGGTCTAGGAAGTGGCTGCATTTATGGGTCATACATGTTGATACAAACTAAAGGTAAATGGTAAACAAAAGAAAAATAAACTTCACATATAACCAAACTCAAACTATTAAAAACTGAAAATTTATATTAACTTCATTCAACCTCATAGCTAACCACTTTGAAGCACAGAGGCACCGCAGAGCACAATGCAGCTCACTCATGTCAGACATGCTGCTGCACAACCAGGGTGTGACAGGGTGGGGGAGGGGCTTACCTTCTACAGGGGTTGAAGTGAGAACAAACAGTGAAAAGACAGGAAGAACAACATAAATGCAAAGATTTCTTTAGACATACCAATAAGGAGCAAGAAAAAAAAGAAAATGGTGTCAACAAAGATGTGGGAAGATGTGGTTCTTCAAGAGGGAAAAGAAGCAGGAAGAGTGCAGATTATACATATATTTAAAAGGATGCAGAATTACCACCTGAGATAAAACCTCAGACTTTTCTGCTTAAATTATCTACTAAATTAAATCTCAGTAATTAAGACAGTCACTGATTTTTTATAGTAATTTAATACATAAATCCATTTCATCATAGATTCATATATTTTAGGCATTGATGTTGAGGATTGTGATTTACAGCTAAGTAAATACAAAAAACTAACACACTTCACTGAATATTTTAAAACCAATAAAAACTAATTTCAACATGGAAATGTTGCAGGAAAGGCTGCTGACTCCACTTTTTTTTTTTCAGTAGATAGTCACTAACACCCCCAACAAGAAAAACAGGCTACAAATTTCATGGGGAAAATTACAGACTTTTTGTTCAGCCTTTTAGAGTTCTTGGTTTGTTTAAAATTTATCATGAATCTATGACATACGTCTCAACGGGGGACAGGCTCTAAAAAAACAGAATGAGGAAAAAAAAAAAACAGAAAGAGGAAGGGAGAGGAGCAGGAAAGGGGATACAAGGAAATAAGAGAAGTAGGATACAGGAAAGAAAGAAGGAAATGACAAGGATTGAAAGATTGAAGGAAGGACAGGAGAATGGAAAAGAGGAAGATTGAAAAGAAATATGATAGAAAAAAAGAAGTTGGAAAGAAAAAAATGATAAAATTAAATCATTTTTTAGTTAATTCTTTAATAATCTATTAATTGAAAACTTACCCAAACCCGAAAAACATTAATTAAATTAAACTCTACATGACACTGCACAGAATCTTTGTAAAGAAGTTTTGCCTTAAAAACAGTGTTCTATCTAAGCATATTTATAGGAAGTCGTCCGAAGAAAGAAAAAAATACACAAGCTATAGTACCGTATTTTCACGACCATAAGGCGCACCGGACTAAAAGGCGCACTCTCAGTTATGTGTCCCATTTCTGTATTTAACACACACATAAGGCGCACCGGACTATAGGGCGCGTTTTTTATATACAGGTACATGTCCTCTACTACCTTTAAATACGTCTACTGCGTATTTAAAAATACAGCGGGGGCAAAACTGAGTATGATTGTGCTTTATTCATGTATTTATTACAAAGTATTAATCAAACCTGGCAGCTGGCCGTGAGACAGACACATCGCAGATGACACAGCGCTGTGATCACTCCTAAATTAACTTAAAATCCTGAAACCTGCCGACGGAATATGTTCGCTTTTATTGCCGGTATCCTGGTGCCTCCAGTTTAAATTATTTAGATGAAAAACAGCTGCCAGCCACCGCGGTGAGGCTGCTGTTGAAGGGATTTACTGTCGGTGCAACGCTGGTATGTGGGGGTCTGAGCGCCTCCGACAGAAATAGATAATCTGGATGAACTGACTGCAATTATTAAGTTTTCAGGTGGACTTTCTCACTTAAAAACATATTAAAACTACTTTATTCCCACTGATCACAGCAAATATAGCTGCAAGATTTAGATTATTTAGATGAAAAAACACCTGCCAGCCACCGCGCTGAAGAGGAGGAGACCCGGCCCAGAGGCTGCTGTTGAATTAAGCTTTCAGGTAGAAAAATAGAGCGGGAGCAAAACTGAGTATGATTGTGCTTTATTCATGTATTTATTACAAAGTATTAATCAAACCCATCAAAGTCATCATCCTCTGTTTCTGAATTAAACAGCTGCGCTAAATCAGACATGCCAGTTTCCCCATCTGCGCTGTCAGAGTCACTTTCTGTGCAGCACAGCTCCTCAGAAATAATGCCGGCTTTTGCAAAAGCTTGAACAACAGAGCCAGCAGACACGTAGTAGTCCAAGCATCTACAATCCATCCGCAAACGGTGGCGTAACTTGCCCGGCGCTGCCTTCCATTTATCATGAAACTGTGGTCTCCGTCTGTCATCCATCGCTCCCACGCTGCTTGCAGCCTTACTTTGAACGGCCGCTTCAAACCGATGTCGAGCAGTTGAAGTTCCTTTGTCAGACCCCCGGGATAACGGCGAGCACAGCGTTCATTTGATTCACCTTTTTTTCACATCGGCTGTGAGATGGGCACGCAGCGATGGTGATGCGTGGAAAAAAACACCTAGTCTTCTCAGATACACCTGCCTCAGCCACGCATCCACCCAGCCTTTTTCATCTAATATCATATGTCATCAGAGCGCTGTCTGTCTCGCTGTCAGCTCCCAGATCTGCTTCTCTGATTGGTTGATGCGGCGCGTCCAGCAGCAAAACTTCAATTTTTCCATCTTGAGCAGCAGCAGCGCGTTGGCGGCGCTTCAGATGCTTAAACGCTCCCGACGTGCTGCACCAAAACGCGCTGCAGGACCTTTTGCTGCACCTATACGCGCGTCAACCATTGACTTTGCATGTAAACTCGCTGCTTCTGCTGCACCTGCTGGCTCCGGTTCACACCGATGTCGAGCGGTTGAACAGCAAGCACAGCATTCATTTGTTTCCCCATGTTTTTCACATCAGCTGTGAGATGGGCACGCATGGAGTTACATATTAACAGCGATGGTGAGGGGTGGAAAAACACCTGGTCTCCTTACATTCAGCCACTCTTTCATCATCTCCTCAATGAGGTGGTCTCAAAAGTCGCAGTTACAACACACATAGGGCGCACCGCACCATAGGGCGCACCGCACATTTTGAGGGAAAAAAAAGACGTTTAAGTGCGCCTTATAGTCGTGAAAATACGGTAATAATAGGGCTATTTCTTAGTGTAACAGATTTATATGTATTTACTGAGATAAATTACCGTTATGATACTCTAATTTAGGGGTGTCAGGGGGGAGGAAAAAAAAATCAATTTGGTGATATATCAAATATGATATTGATCTTTCAGTTCCTAATATATATATAAAAAAACATATATACTTTTTTTACCTAAAACAATGGGGGGGGGCCGAGTATCATGGCATGTATCGTATCGTAACACATGCCAATACTCACCCTTATTGCAATTCATTGAGATGTACATGAATAATGAACAGAATAAGAATGATCCAGTTCTGGTGAATGTTTAGATCATCACACCATCAGTTTTTCATCAACTTCCCAGTCGGAGAAAAAAAATAACTTGCTTTGTTTGGAAACAGTATTTAGGGTTTTGTCAGCTAGACAATATAAAAGAAACCATTTTATTAACCTTTCTCTTATAATCAAGATTTAGAAAATACCCATATTGGCATAGATAATATGTGTAAATAAAAAGTACATGACTGGTTTGCCGCACCTTATTGGCCCAAGCATCTTCATCCCAGGATGTAAGCTGCAGCACTCGGATGATCTCATTTATCTCAGCACTCATCTTCTCAAACGTGAAGTTTCGGTTCTTCAGGGCCTCCTCGACACCCTGGCTCCCAGATGTCTTGGTTGTAACAAAGATTTTTATACCTAATAGATTTGGAAAAAAAAAAAATCAACAACCTAAATTAACAACAATCAGAGCGAAAGCGAGCCTTGTGTCTTGGCCAAAAATGAAGTGAATACCTGATATGAGGATGGGCAGCAGCTCTTTGACCGTGTTCATCGAGTTAACGAGCATCACACGATGTTCCTGATGTGTCAGCTCCTGCTGGCGCTCATCTATCATCTTCGCCATCTTGGTCATCCCTGCCCAAAACAAAGACATTTTACAGAATAATTTCGATATTTTATTATTATCTCTTTTGGATTTGATTAGATTTTGATTTAAAAAGCTCTAAAACATTCAAAGCTCTGGGTGTTGTCTTATAACCTCGCTCTCTCGTTCACTAATGTTCTCTAACAGCTCTGGATGAGCAGACTGACCTGGTCCCAGATTCTTTGTGTATGTGATCAGATCCTCCATGGACTCCACCACCTCTGCCACACTCAGATACTCCAAGATGCCTTTGCATACACGGATTATTTTGCGGACCTAAGACAGCAATCAGATGAAATTACATTAAAAAAAAAAAAGATTTATTCAAACATAAAGCTACGTTTCCTGAAAAAGTGATTATGTAAACATGACTGCCCCCTTTTTCCTGAACAGGTTCTTTACTCTGTAAAGCCTCCCTCTGAGATTGAAACCACTTTCCTCTGAATCACTAGACTGCTGGAGTCACCTCTATAATGTCCACTGTGGTTCCTGAGCTGCACTGCAAAAACATGACAGCAGCGCTGACTGATGCCTCCTGCTGACTCCTGCAGCCGTGACTGGGTGCTTGATATGTGATTCTAGAGCAGTGATCAGCAACTTTTCCCTGTTGTCCCTGAGCTGAAATGAAGGATGGGACTGATAGATGTCAGGCTTGTTTGATTTAGGGTTTTTCAGACAGAAAAAAAGGATATTTAGACCTATTTATCTACTTTTCATGGGCATTTTAAAGCACCACCCTAATCCATTTAAAAGCCTAATTCAATAATACAATAATTTACAATTATTTCTTCAGAAAAGTGATCAGTGTTCAGTAAATTATCATGAAACTCCCAGTATTGATGAATCAGTTTCTGAAAGATGACCGAAATAGTTTGACGAATATTCTCTGTAACCAGAATATAATAATAAATGAATTCAATACCTCTGCCTCATCAAAAGTCAGGAGCAGGTCAGACGTCCCAGACAGAATGCCCCGGGAACCATCGATGAGGTAATCCCGAGCCGGAACAGAGTATGGGTCGGCTTTCAGCATGGAAGCAGCTTGAACCAGCTTTGTACAGGCATTCTCCACTCTGAAAAGCACAAACGAATAATGAAAGAATTGATCTCATCATTATCTGCAGAAAAAGACAACAATCCAAAGACAGAGGGAGCTGATGGCAGCGCCTCAGAAATCTGCAAGATTAAATTTGATTCATTGTCTCTTCTAATATGATTTTAATATCGCTAATGAAAAATATTACATTTTAAATGGTTGTTAGTAAATGACTTTGCTCAGTTTTTTTTTGTTTTGTTTTTTTTCTCCCAGAAAAAAAGTATGTATTTTCCCCTAGTTTTGCAAACTCCATTAAAGTCAAACTGAACTTATTTTTTATTTGTATAGTACTGAATAACATGTTATTACACAGTACTTCAAAGAATCAGTTCAGTCAAATCATATAGACAGATTGGCTAATACCACCATAAAACAGGCGAATTCAAATGAAGTGTCGACCGCTGGGCCGCTGACTGGACCGGACCTCAATAGAGAGCCATGAGCCGGCCTTTCTCAGCCAGAGGAGGGGGGCCAGTGGCAAGCGGTGGGAAGCACGGGGCCACCGGTGTGCAGGCTACCAACACTGGGCCGGGTTCGGTCGCTCCGTCCTCCGCTGTCTCACTACCTCCGTCCACCGGGGTTCCCGCACCAGCCCCGGAGCTGACGGCTCGGTTCGAGCGACCAGTGTTTTTTGACCATGTGCTGCACCATAGTCGACAGAAATCCCGGACAATTTTGAAATTCCCCTCTGACATTTTTTAGGTATTAAAAGTAGGACATGTCCGGGAAAAAGAGGACATCTGGTCACCCTGCCATATCAACAATTTCAACATTTCGGCGAGTGAGTGCTTGTTGCTCTGACATGTCTTTGCTCAGCAGCTTCACTCGACCAATCAGCGCACAGCTCATTTAAATATTAATGAGCACACCATAAAAGGAAGAAAACCTGTCGTTTCATTCTAGGGCTTTTAACCAGGCTTGCATTAGGGCTCATAGAACAGCAAATATGCCATTTTCAGCCCAACCAATGTTACACACCTTATTCAGACACCATGTTTGTTCATGCAATTACTCTTGAATCATGGCAGCGGCGGATGTAATCACATGCGATATATCCGTATTTCTACCACAGCTCGCGTGCTCGTTGCAGCAAACCAAATAATATATATTTTTATAAAGCTACAGATGCAGATCACGTGACTTGTGTGATGCAAAAATAGTGTTTCCTCTACAGTTTCGTGAAATGTAATAACTTTGATGTGACCGGAAACGTACCCCATCGAAGTGTTAAAACTTTTTAATAGAAAAAACAAAAAATAATAATAATAATAAAATATATTTTTATGTGTTTTTTTTTTTTTTTTACGGTAGTGTTTTCATTTAACCAGTTTATTCATTTTTTCATAATTACAATTAATTGCAGTTATAGTCAACTGTGTCTGGTGCAAACATCTGGTAACATGAGATATTGCATTAGCAGGTCAAGTTCAAGTTCACAGCATATATTCACCAATAGTTATGCACTCCAAACTCTCCTTTATGATTTTTCTTTCTTACACCATCATTGCAATGATGATATATACCTCATGTTTCTGCAGTATATCTGTGCTTAACTGTTGGTTTTAACACAGTGTGACCCAGCCACTGATCTGAAGGTTATCAAGCCTTAAGAGTCTCATACCAGCCCCATGCCTAGTATGGACAAGAATATAAATCATTCAAATAGTTCCCCCCTGGGTGTGATGCACCCAGTGATCCCCGGAGCAGGAAAATCTGCAGGCTCAGCTGAGTGATTCATCGTCATACATGCCACCTGCATTGTCCAAACAACTAGCCTGTGCATGGAAACAGGCAACACGCCAAGGAACTGGATTTGTTCCAGTTCCCACACTAAACACATCCTAGCTCTGCCTATGGTGAACTGTTGAAAGAATTAATCTTTATTAGCATTTTTCCACATTTTAAAGCCAAACAAAAAAAAGGGGGAATTTGCTACCATTTCCCTCTTTTGGCTTTCAGACACTGAATGATGAAGACATGGAGACTGATGCAAGTATCTGGTGTGTGAGCAACAAGGGTCTTTCTGTGTGACTAGATAAGAAGAAGCCAGGCCATAAACCAGGCTCCGTCTAGCACTATATTTAGTGGGGAGAAGGGTTTGCATTCCAGCACATGTGCTGATGGATGACGACAGGGTGACGAAGTGACTTTGAGGCGCCAAAAGTGTTAAACCTGACAACCTCGGCATGCCAATGCGTTTCATCCGTGACCTTGGAGGGGGGGGCTGCCCACACACCACTTTACAGTTTTTTTTTTCTTGTGTAGAATAAATAAGACAGGACTAGAACTATATTTTCTAAATAAATTTGAAATCTATACTCCATACTTCAACAAGAATGCACTTCTAAGGACCTTAAGGACTTAACTAGAAAAAGCTGTTTCGCAGAAACAGCAAAGTGGGAATGCTTTTTTCTGCTGAATGAAAAGAGAAAAATTAGCTAAATAAACTGAGAAGGAAAAGAAGCACAAATTAGCTGAGGAACATATGAAAATGTGAAAGGAAGTCATAAGAACTTTCAAACTGCAGAAAACAATTGAATCATCTGAAGATTCTGTAGGGTAGAATCATTTGGCAGTAAAATGGCAGAAACAAACTCATCTTAAAAGCTGCACAGCAAAACTATACATAATATAAAAAAATGTCTTTAATATGTGCACTAGAAGGGTCTTAATATAATGTCTATCAAGTTTCTAGAAAAATTTCTAAAGGGGGCCACCTACTGCCCAGAAACATGTCAGGCATGTTATGAATTAGCAGCAAACAGAAAAGCTTAATTCCTGTCCAGAAAAAGAGAAAAATTAAGCCAAGGTTCACAGCATAGGCTGAAAAATATTAAATTAGCTGAATCAGAAAAGAAATTACAAAGAAAAAATTTAATCTTATCTGGTTGAAGAAAATATGAGTAGCTCAAGGATGGGAAGTAAATGTTGAGGAAGATGGTATTGAATAAGTATCAACATTTTGAAATTGTGGAAATGTCAAGACTTGGCACAACAATTTGAAATGATTTAAAATGTGTTGGTTGATCAGCATAAAGAAAACAGTGTCATCCTTAGAGGATTGAAAATATACAAACCTATGTGTAGGGCTGACCATGAGAAGCAGAGGAAGGACAGAGAGAGAAGCTTATAGAAAGAGAGCTAATACCACTTAAGGAGCTGAATTTATAAAAAAAAATTAACCTGCATGTTAGGAGCCGCTGTGTTGATGACAGCACCATTGGCAGGCTTAGGCTGCATGTTACGAGGTTAGCAGATGCTTTATTACAGTGTAAATCTTAGAACCTGATTAAGAAATATGCACTGAGGTGTGTGGTCAACAGGCCTTGGTAGTGTAATTTGAAGAAATTGGTTGAGTTTGGGTCATAGCTACGAGCCATATGGCACAATGAATGAGTGTATGTAAGGAAGAGGCTTTTATTTTGTAGAGTCCCTTTAGTCTTATTTTGAAAGTCTATCATGGATGTGTGTCATGGGAAGGGTCATGCCCAGCAGTGATATAGAATCCATTCCTAAATATGAAATCACTGGTTTTCCATGTTATTGGGTGAATAGATACTGTATTAGAGCGTAAATGGGAGACTTTTATTGTGAAATTTGCTCTGGGGTATGTTTTGTAAAGGTCCCTAGAGTCTAATAGAAACAAGCTGGTAGAGTTTGGGTCATAATGCTGAGCCATTTGCATCAATTAATAGGCGAGTATAATATAGAGGCTTTTATTGTGTAGGGTCACTGGAGACTTATTTTGAAAGTCTAGCAGGGTTGTGTGTTGAGAAAAGGGTCAGACCCAGCATTGATACTTGATGACTTTCCAATCGTTAAATCACTCTTTTCCCTTGTTATTAGGGCAGTAGATAAAGTGGCAATGGGAGGCTTTTATTTTGAAATTTTCCATGGGGTGTGTTTTGAAAACCCCCTTGAGTCTCATTTTTTAAAAAGTGGTTGAGTTTGGGTCATAATGTTGAGCCATATGCTGGGAAAAAAATGAGTTTAATTAAGGGGCTTTTATTTTGAAGGGTCCCCGGAGTCTTATTTTGAAAGTCTATCAGGGTTGTGTGTGAAGGGAAGGGTCATGGCCAGTAGTCATATTGTATCCACTTCCTAATGTTAAATCAGTGTTGTCTTCCTCCATTAGATTAAAATGTGCTGTTTAAAGTGGCAGAGGTAAAATCTCTTTGAAGCACGGTTACCTTGACAACGCTTAACGAGCCTGTCAGTGAGAGAGAGAAACGCGCTTCACTTTCGTTCCTTTCCTCTCAGGCTTTTTTGAATGGGAATATCAGCTCAGAACAAACGAGTGCTGAAGACAAACCGTAAATGGTATCTAAAAAATTCTTTCAGTCTAAGCGACAGCTATCCTTTGTCTCCAATTGGGATAACTTTCATGGCTGTAGCTCATTCTCAGCCTTAATGGGAAGGAGAAATATAAAGGTTTATAAATCCTGCTGGTCTCATTAAATAACATGCAGCAACATGGTAGAGCAGAATGCTCAAAAGCAAAACTTTCCCTGCGAACAAACGAGTGGTGAGCTAAAACCGTAAAAGGTATTCAAAAAATTCTTTCACCGTTGGCGTCAGCCATCCTTCGGCTTCGACTGTCCCAACTTTCATGTTTCTACTAAAAACTATTTGGCCACGGTGACGATTTAAAAATGTGCATTTTCTGAGTTTGAGGATTTTTCTCAGAAGCAGCGTTTTCCCATGCCCGAACAAGTCAGCTAAAAAGCTAAACCATAAATGATATTGAAGAAATTCCTTCAATGTGAGTGCTAGAAGGTTCTGAAGATGTTGTATACCAAGTTTCATGTTAGTACATCAAATAGTTAATAAATGGGAGCGATACGAAAATATGTATCGTTTTGGATTTTGTCTGTGATTTTTGGAAAATCTCTTATTGGATTTCTATTGGGGAAATGTGGACTTCTTCGTGGTCTGGGTCAAACTGTCGGAAAACCATAAATGCCACACAAATGAGGGTTATATTTCCTGAATCCTGACAAAAATCCCTACGTTTTGATGTATAATTTATTTCAATTGAGTTAAAAATGAGGGACTGAGAAGAATTTGTTCGGAAAAACCAGAACAGCTCAAAAGCTAGAGCACGCACTCTAGCAGTTGAAGAATTCCGTCCATAGACTTCCATTATAAATCTAAAAATCTTAAAAATTTCTTTTAAAGTTTGAAGCTTCACTGAAGCAAAACTGTAAAAGTTAGCAGAAAGCCGAGTTAAACAGTAATAGCAGAAAGATACGGAAACATTTTAAAAGTTGAATGGTGTTTCTAGCTGAAAGTATGCTGAAGTAGTTAAAGGTCAAAGATGATGAAGGTTTAGCTGAATTTTGCTGAAATCTAAGAATTCTACATGCATTTCAATGGGACAAAAAAAACGCAGAAAAAGCTGAATAACGCGAAAACTACCAAAAATATCTTTACCAAAAGACATAGCAGAATTCTCCTGAAGGAGCTGAACGTTTTGATACCAAAATTGTTGAAATCGGTTGAAAACTGCGGGACTAGTTAGAGTCAGAAAAATTTAAAGTGAACAACAATAAGTGGGAATGCATAAGCATTCCCACTTGATAAGGACCTCATCTGTATTACAAAAATTATATAATAAAACAGTTTCACTAACACCAGAGCCAGACACTGAGGCGGGCTAATAGAGAGCATCCTATAGAGGGTAAATTAAAGCATTTCTTTAGATATATGAACACCAAAATGCAATTGTTGTAGCTTACTTGATAAAGGCTGGGGGCATATCCCTTTTCATGATCTGGTCCTCTGTTGTTTGCACAGTATCCTTTCCAACCTGTAAAATAGAGATTGTCGTAAAACAAACCTGTTTCAGAGGTTTTAAATCAAAACATCTTAGCAGTCATTTATTCCTAGAGTACGATAATGCTCAGCAGTCTCAGTCATGGGACTGGTGATCAAACTGTGCAGGTCTTTGTTGCACATCAATTCTGCATATTGTGAGAAAATAAAAAAAAGCCAATCAAGTGTGATTGAGTTAGTTTAGTCTAAGGAAGTTATCTGGAGACGTTTAGCAAGTTGATTTCAGCTGAGTGCTCTAAAACTATATATCACTATGCTGATAAATGGTTATCCAGATAAATATCTAGGCTAGATAATTTTCTATTTATTGTATTTTCTTTCTTTAATTCTTCTTCCCATTGGGGCATTGGCAAATTTGAAGAATATGATTAAATGGGGTCACTATGGGGTGTTTAGTGATACAAATCACACATCCTTATGCAACTGGTTTACTGAAGAAGCCTTTTTTAAGTGAGAGTAGTGCTTTGTGATTGTATGGGCTCTGATTGCTGTGGCGTGCATTCGAAGCTTTACAGTTACCCACGAACAACTTCACAGAATTAATAAAGTTGCCATCATCGCTAATTTGATCATTATTATTAAAGTACCACACATATTGTGATCAGATTTTAAGGTCAAATGTCCTACTGAAAAACCAAACACTGGGAAAATTTGCCTTATTGTTTTTACAGGACATGAGTGTACTGGGTTTAAATTTTTATTTTACAGCGATCTTGCTTTAACTATGGCCCAGTCTCTCCTCTTCTGTAGGCTTTTTCACTTTTCCTCCAGAATTGCCCTTCATTAAGCTGCATTCATCTTTCCATTCAATGGTAAATAGTCTGCTCTGAAGGAAAGCACATGTCAAAGACGCCTTTGTTCTTGCCGATTTTCAATGCACAACTAAAAGCACCAATGTGGATCTCTGAAAGTCCTCTAAAGATGGTATCGTCCATCTGCCTGCTTCTTTTGATTAAAAACCAAGCCCGACAATTTAGGTGTCACAGTTGTTATACTTTTCAAAATCAGATTTTGGATGCAACACTGCTCTAATTTTATGGCATCCTTTCCCTGCCAGCCAAGTCCCTTTGTCTCTCCTTACATGGGTGGATTTATATGGAGATAAAAATTACAAATGTGAAATATTAACTCCTTATTCGGTAACATATGAAGATGATACATAGAACTGGAATCTCTCCCACTTGATCTAAACTTCACAATTAAGTTGTAGTTTGTGTTGATCTATGATATATCAGATCTGAATAAAATATGCTGAGTTTTAAGATTGTAAACCGACAAATGCTGCACACTATATCCAGAAAATGCTTTTCCATCTGTTTGTGAAAGAAAGAGCACCTTGTTATTTGAAGAATGGTTTTGCACATCCTTGGCTTCTCAATGAAGGACTGTTTCAGCCCAAAACATGACCTCACATCTTGGGACTGAACTCAACCCACGCAAAGGCTTCCTGGATGAGATCACATTTGTTTGTACTCAAGAGATGAACATATGAAGGGATATTGACTCAGTTACCATTAAAGGGCAGTTATTTTATTCATGTTAAAAATAGGCCCAGCATTTATACTCATGCCAAACTGAAAGATGTCTCCTTCCTGCATGCCATTTACGACGCACCTGTGTACTTTATTTAATGCTAGGGTCTTTGACTGTTCATTTCAAAACTGATGAGAGGTGAGTTTTCCCAAACGTTAGTAACTTATATCAAAGTTATCATAATAGTATGCAATGGATTAAGCCTATCTGAATAAGCAGGATGTATCGTAGAAAGGTGTGGCACACCGCCACAACAAAATAAGAGTCACCGTCCCTTCAGAATGTTTAAACAATGCCAAGCATAAAATATAGCATAAAATACTGTATACAAGCTCACTTACTCTAATCATGATGTTTATAAAGTGAATTTAAATACCATGAAATGTTTCAATGAAAAAATTATGAAAATATTACTTTATTTTGAAAAACTATCACCTACTGCTTTTGTCTGTCTTAATGCAACTTTTTCATTTTTGATCCAATCCCAATATTGCAGCTTTAAGTGTTAATATATTAAAATATTGATCAGATGCCACATAAGCACAATGCACACAGTCTTCTATTACTTTATTGTGTGATGTGTGATCAGAGATATTACTCAAACAGAAGCATAATATTACTATCAATATGCTAGTAATCAGGGATTTTAGATGCACGCTGTTCTAAATCTGATATTGTTTTTCTTTTCTTTTTTTTTTTTTGGCTTATATATGGCCGGTATCTGTTATTAATATTGGATCGGAACATTCCTACTAGCCAGTGTATGAAGCTTACTGTGCGCTGTTCTTTGTAGTGAAGGAAAACTGGAGTCAACAGTCCTGTGTTGCCAAGCTTGTCAATATATTTTGGGATTTTTCAAACCCCTCTAGCAATATTTTTTTTTTCCTAAGGGACAAATTCCTTTAATCCCCACCACCAGTCAGAGTGAGGAAAGCAAAGAGGATTCCTGCTACTTTTCCCAAAGCTAATGTATAAAGCATGCTCGAAGCTGCAGATGATTCTGCTTCTTGCAAACAATTGGGCTACATAGCCACTCCAGTTTTTAAGCTTACATTTCTCACCATATTTTAACAAAATGTCACTTTAAGTAACAAGGGGGTCATATATCAGGGTTTAAGGTTGCTCCAAACTAAAACAGCAGAAGAGACTATCCCACTCAGAGGAGTGTAAGAGCCACCATGATCTAGACTAACTTTTCTTTTCTTAGGCTTACCATAACAAAAGGTAGTGTTCCCAAATCCAATTGAACGCATTAGCTTTACACATTATCTTTAGATTTTCTAAATGGTCATTTTAATAGTCAGTAATGTCTTGAGAATAAATAACTAACAATCTTTATCATAAATGATCTTGTTTGAAACAATTCTACAAGACCATGTGAAAAACTGTTGGTGCTACAAGGGCTTTGATTGAGAGTTCAAACATTTTCAAATAAATATAAAATAGAAGCAAAACGAAATTTTTCATTAACATGATATTGCCACCATTCTGTTCAACCAAGGGACAGCTTATTCAGGGTTATGTGTAACATCAATCCATTACATGCCTAATTTCAGACAGTAAACCTTTCATTTGATTCCTTTAATTTGACAAAGCACCTTTTTTCATGCGTCTGTTGAGGCCCTTACATAAAAAAATAGCCCTCCTGTTGACAGGTTCCCCACATTAAAAGATCAACTTATTGCTCTTCGCTTTATTCGGTTCTATAAATGAATAACTGAAACATCACCCAACAGATGTATGCATCAACTTCAAGAGGTGTGAATAGTTTTGCAAATCACTCTGGTTACAATGATAATATAAAGGAAAGACACGTCTGCAGCTAAGTGGCAGTGTATGAGTCAAAGCCCCAAAAGTGTTTTGCTAGTTTTTGTTTTGTTTACAGCTATAAAGATGCATTTAAACCGAGTGAGGTGTCCGTGATGTGGTGGTGGATTTACATTGGATCACTATGCCAGCATAGAGCATGGAGGGGCAAGGAAGCAGACAGCGGTGAACCCCACACGGTTCACTGCTCCGCTCTCACCGTGTGCAGCTAGGTTAGGGCTGAACCAATTGGATTAAATGTGATTAATCAGTTATTGAAATAAATAATCATCAACTAATTTAGTAATCACGTAATTATTAATTGGAGTATAGAGACTGTAAAGCATGAATTTAGTTGACAGAACACACTTAAGAAAACAAATTATATCAAAATAGTAAAAAAAAATATATATATATACATTTTGCATTTAAGATTAAAAATATACTTTTCTCTATCAATATGCATGGCTGTCAGCTAAAAGCATGTTTATAGTCTCTACACCCCAGTTGACGATTAATCGATTTATAAATTAGCTGACGATTATTTCAATAATCAATTAATCACAATTAATCTGATTAGCTGCTTAAGCCCAAGTGGTGACATAGGTTTTTCTGTTAAAATGGAACATAGAGGAAATAATGTTAAAGGATGAAATAAGCAATGCTCTGAAGAGGTTTTTAGGTGGCTTTTAAAAAGCCCTTTCACTTAGCCCTAGAAGGACTGCTTGTTTTCCTTCCTTATTCTCCAGCACAGAACGCGGTCTGTCGCTGCTCACTGCCCATGATCAGTGCTCTCTGCATGAATAGATTTGCGTAAATACTGCAAAATGCAGCTCTAGCTAAACCAAAGTGATCTACGTTTTTAACGTTTTTCAAAAAAAATGTATGGTCTCCCTAAGCAATTTCAAAAGTTGTTCATAGAGAACCATTTAGCAGCAGTCCGTGATGTGAAGTCTCACCTGTGCTTTTATTGTAAAATTCTGACAGAGACCTTGACAGGAAATGCTATGGGGTTGCCAAGGGTAACGGCAGAGCCAAACTGAAGAATCTGGGAGGTTTATGAACCAATAAATATTGTGAAACACCCAATAAATAAGCTAACCATTTCCAATGTTATATTCAATGTCAGCCCATGTTATTTTATGCAATAACCTTATATTCTGAAATGAGCGCGGCATTAATGTCTGCTGTGATGGCGACGTCATCGGCCGTAATGAAAAATTATTCCATCTTAAAAACAAAATCAGAACAAATGACAGTTTTAGCTGCAAAAAACACTTTTTTGATATTTAAAATGCAGAGCAGTGAACTCCCCACGGTGCTTGCGGAAATCACCGTGGATGCAGCGTTTTGTCTAAATACACCTAGAGGTACCAAAACATTTGATAAAAAATTTGCACATTGTCTTTTTCAAAGCTGAGCTAAGAACCAGTCAAGTTCAGACATGATCTCAGCTGCACACTGAAAAAAGAAAACAACAGGAGGCTAAATGCAAACTGTGTTAATGAGTTATGTTCTCTTAAAAGCATCAAGCTGGAATTTCGGAAACGGGACGAATCTGAGGCTCAGGGTGTTTTCAACAGGTCATAACAGTCTTCCTTTTCCTCTTTCCATCACAGCCAATTCCTGTTGTCT